ATATTTACACATAGCTTGTGTATATCGTACATATGTATACATATATATTATTCATACCTTCGGTGTATGGTATGCAAGCAGATTTTGACATCAAATTTTGGGGTAAAAAAAGTGCGTCTTATACACCGAAAAATACAGTAAAACAGAATTTAAAAACATGGATAAGACTCTGTGATATAATGTTTTGACATAAAAAAAAGAAACATTATATTTTATGTTGTATATTGAAAAAAAAGGTGTCAAGGATAAGTACCAAACTTTGTTACTCTTGCTCATACACAGTCTCTCAGGGAAAATCTAAAGGCAACACTATAGAGATGCAAAAAGTTAACATCTCTATTCTTGCAATGTTGTTGTAAAATTAACAAACCAAATTACATGGATCTTCTTATTAACCTCTAACATATTGTATGTCTTAAAAATGAAAGTTAGTTAATGCACTTTTACTTCTTACGTATCATGATAATGGCTTCATTAAATTAACATCATGAATTTAAATATTATAGATGACTGTATTGCACTCACCTGGTCCAGAAACTGCATGGACATAGCCATAAATAGACTCTTTTTCCACATTTTTAATCTTTGGAAGTTTTTCCATTAAGTTAGCACCACCAACCTGCAAAATTACCCATACAAAATTAGCATTCTCTTCATTTGTTTTCACAAAATAAGTTATTGCTCATCATGGCCATAGTCAAAATTTCTAACAGAGTAGAAATCTCAGTGTCATTCATTTATGTAAGGTACCTACACATATAAGCTTTCATCTTTGATTTCTTAAACATTTAAACTAGTAGATGATTAATGCATGAAACACATGAACTATGATAACATGCCATAATATCTAGAATAAACGAGAATAGTTATAATTTATCACTATAACAGCTAGTTAATAAGCTCTAAGAACAATTGTAAGTATCTACATCCAATTACATGTACCTATTTACTCCATCTGCCAAACAATTTATTGAAAAGAAAGAATATGCATCATATATAAATTTATTTCAACTAAAAATACTGTCAACAAAGATACTGTTACTTAGTGTGACCTAATGCAAGTTTGAAAAGTCAGGTCCTAGTACAGGTCGTCGATAAATCTTTGTCAGTTTCTGCAGGTTTTTTTTATGATTTATAGCCAGAAGTGGTCACTACTACAATTATTAAAATAAAATATCAAAGAAATATTTTAATAAATACCTACCAAATTGATATTGATTGGATATGCATATGTTATGAAATTAGGTTGGGGTTGAGAGGTGAGAAGTGGTCACCTTTTGGTCAGTCCCTAAGGGTTTAAGGGATTACAGCACTTTTATGCTATTAGGAAACTATAGTAACCATCTTTCTTTTTCAATGGTATGGAGACAACAAAACCCCCTATAATTATGCAATGTTATAAATAAAATAGGTGTATGAGCTCAGAAAGCAAGAGACTTGCTCAGAATGGTTTTCAAGAGATGGATAGAAAAGACAGGAGTATAATACAAGAAGTAAAACAAAAGACAGAGATGTAAGAGAGACGAAAAAACTGAGAGGTGTAGAAAGATGTATTATGCTTCCAGTAATAAACAAAACCTAGTTATACATCTATGTGTTGTTGATTAGTGTAATAAACAGGAATTTTTCATGTATACCAGTACGAGTCAGTTCCTGACAGAAATAAGTATAACCTTAATAGAATTAAAGGTGAGCAAAATGTGAGTATAGGACAATAACAAGTTGGTGTCAAAAGAAGGGGCCTACAACAACAAAATGGAACTTTTTGATCAACGTTTAAAAAATGTTTAGTTCTAAATGAAATGGTATTTAATTACTTTTTTTCTAAACAGTGTCTCACATTTCATAACATAAGAAACTATAGAAACACTAAATCCTCAAAAAAAGTCGTTTTTTATTTTACTTTTTGATATCCTATACTTATGTATTAATAAAAAAAGGTTATTTTATGATCTGTTATTATATGTTTGCACAAATTATATTTGTTAAATAAATGTTTCACATCTAGATTTATAGACGATATATATTTTTTCAATGAAGCTAGAGTAAAGAATAGGAATGTTTTTCTTTAGTGTTTACGATACATAATTCAGAATAAATCTGATAGAGATCAACATTTTCAATGCCATTTAACAAGCACTAATTGTAATACATAATGACATGCAAATAAATTCAGCAAGAAAGTGTTTGTCCAAATTAACTCTAGCAAAAACCTATTGAAACCTGATGGATGATCAAGTTATCACATGCAAATCACAGAAGGGGTTAAGTACTTAAGGGAAAAAAAATCAAGTGAAATCAGTGACACACTCCAGGTATGGAATTTTATGAATGCGGAATGAGTTGTTTTTTTTCCATTAAAATGATTAACATGCATTAACATGATCACTGATGACTTAAATTTTTTGAATCTCATTAAATCCACGCCTAAAATTATGAAAAATGTCAACAAATTATATTGACAGACAAAAAATAACTTTACATTTGTTTGAAGTTTCACAAATATGGGAAACATGAGGAATGTTCTTGAAATTTCTGAAGCACTAAATGGTTACAACTATACAATGATTTTGTACAAACCCACATATGATGTACAGCAAATTCTATAAAGTCCTAATGTAGAAATAAAAGATTAGGCCTAAACTGAAAAATGAAAAAACTTCATTAGACTTCACTACAGTATGACATCTTTATAAAAATAATTGTCAAGTAGATTATAAAGTAGTTAAAAAAATGTTGCACTTTCTTGGTTTAACAATAGAAAAATAAAAACAATTTATAATGTGAATCAAACAGTTATTGCCACTACTATGTTTTAAAGATAAACTTTAGTGTGAAGAAAAAAGTAGTGATGAAATAATGTAATATATTTAGTTCTCAAACATTAGGCTTAACAGTGTTTTAGACAGGATATTTGTATTTAGTGTTGATTATTTATTCCCAGACTACAATGGTTGCGAGTAGCATAGGTGTAAAGCACTCACACTTTGTAGGATGCAAGGAATGGGTTTTATTTGGGAACTTAGAACTTACATGTACTTTTAAGGAAGCTAGTAGTGAAAAAGTACTATTTGTCTGTAGAGTTTGCAAGTTGGAGGGAAAATCATAGGCTATCCTAAGTAGGGTAGAGATGATAGGTAAAGAAAATTTTAAACTTTGGGAATTGACAGAAGTATTTAAAAGGGAACTTAAGTTTTACATGCAAAGGATACAATATCTAATAATAACTAAGGAGATTAGAAATAGCAGTATGGCTGGAAGTAGTGGATTGAATTGTGAAGATCAGGTTCTATTAAGTAACATATTTCAGTCTTTAACATGTGCAGATGAGGAACTATGGGAAGGAAAATAAAAAGGACAGATAGTAGTGGAAATGAAAAACTTAAAGAAAGTATAATCATAGTTAAGTCTGATACAACAAGTGGATAGGAAAAAAGATAGGTCTGTGGAAAAAAGAGGGATAAAATAATTAGATTATGCTACCTAGAAACATGAATGATAAAGCAAGTGATATAGTAAAGGGTACTAGTAGTGATGCAATCTTTGTTGTACTCATCAGAGCTGATGATGTAAGAAAGGGTAGATAAATAGAGCTAATTGATAAGTACTGAGGACAGATAAAGACACTTAGAAAAAGGGACCATAGTTACTTTATTCTTTTAGCAATACAGCCAGGACTTAATTGTGGGAATGAATCTATATCTGGGTAATTAGGGCTACATGCTAGGCTTAGCTTAATATGAGAGGATAATTAGATTGGCTGGTTTGACTTGTTGGATCAGTTCTATGGGAAATGGATGCTTTTTGAAATAAATGGTTTATATTTAAGTAGGGTAGAGGCTGGCTTGTTTGCAAGGGCTATTAGCTCAGGTGTAAGGGCATCTTTATACTCAAACTAGACAGTAGTAAGGGTTAGGATAAAGGTTTGTTTGGAATTTTGCACAAAGATACACAAGGGCAATCTGCACCAGCTGTCCCTAATTTAGCAGTGATAGACAAGAGGGAAGGCAGCTAGTCAACACCATCCACCCCCCAAATCTTGAGCTATTCTTTTACCAATGAACAGTGGATTGACTGTCACATTATAATTCCCCTACAGCTGAAAGGGTGAACATTTCGTCAATAGGGATTCAGACCTGCAACCCTCAGATTGCAAGCCAAGTGCCTTAACCACCAGGCCATGCCAGACCCAACAAGATAAAGTAAATGCAGAAAAAATAAAAGTATTATGTGGGAACAAAGTATAGATTTAGTTTTAATGATAGACTAAATTGTCACTATTGTTATAATGCAGGAAGTATAAAAAATAAAAGGTATGACTTTAGAGCATAGGTTGGAATCAGAGATGATGATGAGACTAAACTGTCAAGACCAAGACCTATCATGCTGAAACCACGAACAAGAATTGACCTGAAATGCCAAGACCAGCCTTTAGAAAAGCATATTCTTATCAGAATTGCAATACATAGTCAATATTTCTACTCACCATCATTTGCAAATATCCAGTTAAAGCCTTTCATGTTGGTGTTCAAAATATACTTAAATGACTTACTTTTTGCTGTAAAATTAGAAGCTTTAACTACAGTTTTTTTGTTCGTCCCATTAATCATCAATTAAAGAATTAGTGATACGAAAAAGATCAAAATAATCAACAAGATCATACAGTTGTAATGACACATTAAGAAGAACACAAAATCCAAATATTAATTAAAGGACTTCTGGTGGTGTCAACATTTTGTTTGTTTGTCGTCAAGTGCAAAGCTACTCAATGGTCTATCTATGCTCTGCTCATTGCAGGTATAGAAACCTAGTTTTTAGTATTATAATCCATCAGACTTACTGCTGAACCACCAGGCAGAAGTATGGAGCAGGTGTTAATGAAAATGAAACATTTGCAGTAAATCTAAGTGATAAGCCTCGTTAATTTTGATGATATACAAACGATAAGATACGATTAAACACTTTTTTTTCAATGAATATGAATTTTATGAAGATTTATCATTTTTTGATATACTGATATAAAATAACATAGCGTGTGTAATTAAATGTATAAGTAATGACCTTGATGTGAAATGTCAGAATATGAGTTCAGGCCTGTATGTAGAATGTGTGAAAGTGGGGTTCTAATTTGTGAGAGCAAAAGCCTACACATATTGGGTGAAGCACAATCAGCATGAAAGCAATGGCATGGAGGTATGGAAGCATGTTTCCACAGAAATTTTGTATAATAATAATAATAATAATAATAATAATAATAAAATAAAAAAAAAAAAAAAAGTGTAATGAGATTAAATATGGAAACAATTTTGCATGAAATATAGCTTAAACAATTGCATGCCTATTCACATAAAATCCACAAACATCCAATGAAAAGTAAAAAAAAATCATCATTCTGCTGTAACACTGCATGGGGAGGTAGAGTTAAATTTGCATGAATATGTATGTTTTATTATAGCAAATTACTGGAGTCTGAATGTCAAGCAAAGAGGCTGAGGAAACCAAGAAAGGGACAACACACAATCTACTTGTTTTGAAATAATATATTAAAAAACAAGTTAAACGTATATTCAAATGTATGTTACATAACGTATATTACATAGTTAATCACCAATTGACAAG